CAGTTATTAAATATGTATATATTTATATTTATATTTATGTATATATGTATGTATGTATAGTGGCCTCGTTCGCGCTACAGTTTTTTTTTTCTGTTGCTGTGTATGCACGCTGCGACTCTAAACTGTTTTTTTTTTTTTATTTTTGCGGTAGTATGTATACGCAATGTACACATGCGCGATAGTATAATACACACGTAAACGCTTATATTATATGTACGTTATATACATGCATACACACGCACATTTCCCTTTCTTCCCGTCTCCTTTTTTACACGTGATTTTACCGAGAAGAATGGGGCACGTTTGCAATCGTAGCGATTTTCTTAACATACACAACGTATAATCAAAGTATCATAAATATTTTTATGTTTACGACGAACAGAAAGAAAGGCTCCTTAAATTACCAAGAAAATAGCTAAAAAACCTTTTTCTTCGATCGAAAATTCCTCGAAATTAAAACAGTTTTGTTGACTCTGTCCGAGATAACGAGTTTCACGTGGCAATATATGTACATATATTTGGAGGAAGAAAATGAACACGCACAGACGCACCTCCATCTTCCCTTTGCTCCGTAGCTTTTCACGACATTTGACTCAACATACACGGTATACAGTTTGGCTAATATATGATTACGATAGACACACAGTGTGTTTGCTTGTGGGTTTTGCGTTTTTTCTTTCTTTCTTTTTTTCTTTAATCTGCTGCTCGTGAGAACCTCGTGAGGAATGATTGTTCGGTTTTTTTTTTCGTTCTTTCCGGGATCCTAACGAAGCGGGGGAGAAATTTACTTTCGCGATTAAGTGGTGATATAGGCGATAGTATATTAGTAAGTTAGTGTAAAATTCATTGGTCCAGAGAGTTGTGTGTGTTTCGAGAGGGTCTTGTCTCCCCTATCACTCAGATCCATTTTCATTTCGTGAAACTGTTAAAAGTCAAAATTTTTTCCCTTTCAGAGAGGAGGATATGTTTTTCTCCCTTCAAAAAAACTTGCGATCAAGGAGGACAGAGATGAAATGTATGAGTTGTCATTTTCACTTTTTTCTACGTTTATTTTTTTTCTCTTTTCTTTTTTGATAATCGAACTTGATGACAACGATTTCGTTACTCTAAACGCGATTGAAGTTATCTACCTAGGCCTCTCGATGTAAAAATTCGATAATCAGAGAACAACGGTATCGATCGATATCTCGAAAATGTGCCAGGTTATAGAGGCGACGTTCTTTCCTGTTTTATTTTCCTTATCCTGACATGTTGTCCATATGGTCAGATAAAATGTTATCGGATAATGATCCGATAATGGAAACTTGCGATAACCTTCGACCGATCGGTGGAAAAAACGCTTTTGCCCGGAGAAACGGGGAGAATGAGTCGCCCTTCGATTCAGGGACGATGCGCAACAGTGTAAAAATGCTTTTAGAATATCGTTTGCGCAGTTTGTACAGGGAAAATTCGAGTCTTATACGTATATCGTGCTTCTGCAAGTGAGACACGCGATAGAATTACTGTTTAGTGTGATTAGTTCATAGTTCATGGTCTTGCGGCAACTTCAAATTGAATTTTATTGAAAACATGACTTAACAGAACGAATAAATCGAATCGTAAAAATACAAGAATAAAGAACAATTTTAAATTTTAGGTATCATAAAAATTTTTCGGTATTTTATGGTAGTATCGTTGAAGAGAAATTATTTAAAATATTATGAAGTTAAAACATAACCATAAACGCAGAGTGCAGCGTAATTTGTGATATTATTGAGTTATACGTAATTCAGGAATACGAAATAAGATTATTCGTTTCGCAGAACGGCGAAACGTAGTTGGCAAATGAAGTTTCAGTGATTTTCCATGTATTTTCACGCAAAATGTATCCTTATCGCGGTGAAGTAACGTAATGCTGATCTTGTAATTGTCAATGAATTAACAGATCTTTATTCGTATTTGCACGATGATCAAACTGTCAAAGATCACGGTAATTCCACGAACTAAATTCTGTAACGAGAAGAACACGTGTAACAATTTTTTAGCGAGAGGAACAAATAAGTCGTCAGAACGTGGCACTTGATTAATTCGCTTCGATACATACGGTGTATCATTCGTCCAAACATTTCTACACGTTCAAATAATCTAATTACTATATTTTTTAAATATACGTGTACGTAACCTATGTCACACAGAAGAATTTCTTGGTTCTTAATCGTATCACAAATTATGCAGACTTCTATGTGTTCGGTGAGTAAATAATGAGAAAGAATATAGAAAAGAATTTCGTGTGTTGCGCAAGCCAAGAACGACGATCATGTTCCTCTACATCTTAAGGAGTTTTCGTTTGTGGTTAGCTGTTTACGTGTAAAATCGTCTACGATTTAACGACGTAGCGTGAAGTTGTTCATTCTCCCTCTCTTTTTCTCTCTCTAACAAGTTTTATCGGTAAATATTCGCGTGGTAATAAACACGGAGATGTTTCTTTATCATTTCGATTCTTTTGATCTTCCAAGCTTCTTTATCTTTTTTTGTTTTCTCTTTCATTCGATCCTTCACGTTACGTCATCATGCAGGCGCAAGATCGTGCCATCTCGGCGACGATCATCATTAACGACGACAACAATATCTAGCTAAACATCGAAGAACATCGAGTTGTTGTTTATTTTCCATTTTTTTTTTGTTTTTTCTTTTTCATTAATGCCTGTTCAATCCCTGCGATCAGTCTGAATCTAATTGACAATGTGTATTCCAAAGAAGTTTCCCTTCGTCTCCTAGCAAAAACTTGTCGCCCTCTCTCATTTAACTTTACATCGTTTCTTTGCTTTTCGTTTGTTTGTTTCTTGTTTGTTCGTTCTTGTTGTTTAATACGCTAACGTCCACTAATTAACTATACGATTATACATATTACTTTTGCGATTATTACGGTTACGGTTTTTTGTGTGAGCTTCTTCTTTTTTTTCTTACAATTTATTAATTCTGTTTCATGAGCAGAGATTTTTCCCGCTCTTTCTCTACTTCCGCTACATGTGTGGTATATCACATGTACACACGCAGAAAGCTAGGACGCTTACTTGATTGTTTCTCCTCTATTGATTAGAACAGTGAACTATTGTTTCGTCTGTGTTCAGCGTGTTCAAGGTCGATAAGAACAATGCAGTGGAGGAATGTTCGATGATTCGAACCCTTTCACTGTCAGAATTCTTCATTTGTATTTTCTTATTCTCAAACGGGTGTATTAATCAAATTGTTTAACAAACGATCCAACAGTGAAAGGTACCAGACCTATTTTTTCCTTCTATTTTCTTTTCCTCAAGTTATAGCATCGAAGATAGTCAGGTAACGTTTAAGCTCGCGTACAAATATATCGCAATTGAGATCATACAAGGAGAGGGTATCGCCGTTTAAAGATTAGGATCCGTCGATTCCGATATATGGCACACGCTTAGTTTATAATTTCTTCGGTGGAGGCAGTAGCGTATATCTTAGATCAGACAACGACACCTACAGTGTGCAGAGGACGTTCCTAAAGGTTCTTAAGTTGAAGTTCATTTCAGTAGAAGAAAAAGAATTCTTCCGGGCAGTTCGCTTTCTCATTTCTTCAGCGACAAGCGTTTCATTCGAAGGATATCGAAGAATTCGATCAGTATATACGTTGCTCGAAACAATTTAAGGAACCACCAATTTCTGATCAATTCTGCAGGACCGATCATTCAGTTATGAAGTGTAAATATCGATTAGTTCATTCAAGCAGGTGACCCTCTGACAATTATGAACTTCATTGCTGAACAAATATATTTACAAAGATTAAATTACTGTTAAAAAAAAGAGTTGCTATGAATTTATCACGATTTTACAGAACTGAATAGAATCGAAATAAATAAACTGCAGTAACTTAAGTGTAGAGAATTCTTTTTGCATTCGATGTTCAATGGGATTCATTCAAGTCGCTCCAATCAATCACAAGAACAGAAGGAACGAAAATGTAAAACGGAAGAACGAAATGAAAAACAAAAAGAAAACAGATGCATTTCATCTCAGACACACATCATTTTCTTTTATTTCACGTTACAATGTTACATTTATACCATGATCTTCGGCATTTTAGAGGCGAGGGTTGTGAGTCCTTTTCAGACAGAAAAGAAAGAGAAAATCTGCTACGGTTCGAGCACACTTCCGCTATATATATTATAAATTATTATCAGAGTTCCATCGGGGAGTCGCACGTAATTCAACTCGAACGATCCTCTCTGCCACGAAAGAAACAGCTGTTTTTCCCGAGCGACACACTCGAAGCGATATAATATTTTCATTGCCGTTTTCGTATTTTCTTCTTTAACTCGTTTTTAGTATCACAAGAGTACGCTAAACTTGTTTTTCATTATGTCCTAGGCAACGCACTATGATCGTGTACAACGTACTCGAAACTATCCTAACGAAGCCGACACAGGTAGTAATAAGCTACGCGATTGAAATACGCACTTTCTTCTGTGCCTTCCATAGCTGCTTTTTTGTTCTCTCTATTTTTCGTTTTTTGTTTTCTGCTTGAAACCGTACTCTATAGGATTTTTTTCTATTTTATTCAACGATCATTCATTTTTTACCGTGTTTTCTTTATTTTTTTTTCTTGTTCAAGTGCGTTTCATAACCAGTGCACGGAGATATTGCTCTCGTTCAGATCTACGATTTTCATTCCTCCTGCGCGTTTTCTTTCGAGACTTTTGCGACGATCCACGTCGCAAGTGAACGTAGTACACATTACAATACGCTTCTTTTTTTAAAGTTTTCTCCCTCGAATTAAAAATTGAATCAATTCACCTTCAATTTATACATTCGTCAAATGGATTATTTTAAAAAAAGCAGGTTTTCGTGGAAGGATGCAAATCGTAGAAACGACGCGAGAACTGTTCCTATTAAAATGGAAGGAATGGTAACCATTGTGTTTCGCTACGGTACAAAATGGCGTCTCGTTCTCATCTTTCCTCTCGCAATGAAAATCATTCTCTGGCTTATAATAACAAACCGGAACTCGCTTAACGGACGTTGTTTCTCGCAGGATGTTCACCTGATTCGCGAAGCAGTTTCAATTTACAAAATTGACTATCAAAAAACACCTAACGTCCGATGTTCAATCAATCCTCCTCGTTTCGTTTTACCTTTAAACAACGCTTTTTTTTTGTTTTGTTTGTTTTCTTTAATCCTACAAATCTCTCTGTCAATGAACAGAAACTTTCGCGTTTAAAAAGCGGTAGAAACGGTGGGTTCTCTCGCGACAGTCTATCAATCCTAATTAATTCACATAGTGAGAGACTATAAGCTCGGACAGTTACACCTGGTCGCGTGTGTGTGTTTTGTGTGTCTGTGTATGTGTTTCTCTATTTGACGTCGACTCGCCAATCTTCAGAGCCGAGCGAAACGGTAAACGCGACGTAAAAAACTTTACAATATCTTTCCTTTTTCTCAAAATTCTTTCACCTCGTTCTCATTCATGAATGAACCATGTAAACAACTATATTCTTGACGTGATATTCCTCAATGTAAGTACTTCGAACAGTGTTTTTGGTTCGTTCACGATAGAACAACGAGCTTACAACAGACGGTGTCTACAGGGTGTGTAACAAAAATCGACGATACCATGATGAAACTCCTCTTTATTGTCTGAGTAGCGTGAAGCTCTCGCGAGGGGGCAAAAAAAAAAAAAAAAAAAAGAAAGACCAGGAGAGCTCCATCAGTGCAATATACGCTTTCCTTCCATCGGCTCTGATTGTACGCAGAGAACTTCATTCGTTAAAATTGAAACACTGTAATGTTTTGTGGTTAAGTTGCGTGTGCTCTATCAGCAGAGGGAGAGAAAGAGAGCGAAGCGAGGCACAGGCGTGTGTGTGTTCGTGTGGTCACTTGAGAGACACAAGAAGCAAACGCTCTGTATTTTTTTTTTCTTTTTCTGGTCGCGTTTCTAATTCGTGTCAACGACGGATATCGTTTATATCCTTTTCTTCTTAATATATCTGTGCTGTTATGATCTCTTCACTATGACTTCTTTTAGTATCAGCGTAAGATCAGTACTGTTTTGTCTTCTAGAAGCTACGTTTTGTTCTCAGATCCTAGATCGTTTTACATCAGAGTATCATCGTATCAATCCGATCGATATGTGTGTATGTATGTGTTTGTTGCTCGATCGTTCGAATTGTATTGTGTGTGCACAAATTCGTAGTAAGTATTCGTGTTATGTATACATATATATATATAGTCAGCGTGTGTCCTTCGGGATATACGTGAAACGAGTTAACACAATGTTCATTTGCAACGTGTGTTTCTCCATCTTTTTAGCGTGGTATCATTATACTGATGTTTGTTTGTTTTTTGTTGTTCTTGTTGTTTGCTTCATTAAAATTAATCATTTGTTTGTTTTTTTACCGTAAACACGATTTCATAATATATATATTTACATTCATCTATCTACAGTAACTACACATCAACAAATACGGTTAGTTTTTAGCATTCTCGTAGTGTCGTGTTTTTTTTTGCATCATCGTGATATCATATTTATTATCATTATCATCGTTATTATCATTCGATTCGTGGGTTTCTTTAATCTTTTTCTCGCATTATTCATCATCGATTCTCTCCATCGTGGAGACGCGTTTTAGTTTCCCTTTCACAATCTCAGCATCACCCATTCACACTTTCACCTCATTCTCTCACATTTTGCTCGCGCGATCAACGATCGTACCTCATCTATCGGCGATCGTGTAATCTCTCAAAAAAACGAAGCGTTATTATTATCAGTTAATATTATATCGTTATACTCGCGACTAGTTCGAAGGCAACACACCACGATCATCATCATTATCATCATCAACATCATCCTCCTCGATTATCTCATCATCTTTATACATTATCGTAGCAAATTCACATCGTCATCGTGGTCGATCCTTCGATCCTTTTCTCGAACGACACGCGATCGCGTGGAAGAAAAAAACAATAATCATAATCGAACGAGTAATAAAGGCTCATTCAACGAAAATACATATATAAAAAAATAAAATAAATACGGCAACTTAAAAAAGAAAAGAGACAGAAAAGGAGAAAAACAAACATAGGACGATTAAACGACGAATCGATCGGTTAATTAATTAATTCGTAGTCCGCGTGTGGTTCTAACGTTCCATATTACTCGACAACGTTACAACCTTTTCTCAATATTCTCATCTTCTTTTTTCTTCCTTCTCTTCAACCAACACGTCTTTTCCATCGTATCTTCTTTCCAATTTAACGAAAAAATCACAATTCTTCCATGTCTTCTCTCTTCTACATCCGGTAAACACGCTCGACAAAAATCTCTCGTCCCGTTTCTAGGAAAATACGTCGGGGGGAGGATTCTCTTTCTTCTCTCCGTTTAAAGAATACCATTATCGACGATAATCGAGAGCTAACCGGTAAATCCCGTTAATCGGTTTTTTTTTCTGTTTTCTCTTTAATCTCCTCTGGTAAAATGTCTCTTGGAAATCTTGGTAACAGTCCTCTCCACTGTGCTATGACAATTCTTCCCTCTTCTTTCTTCGTCATTTTCTTCTTCGGGGGACGATCAACCTCAGTGCGAGACTCTCGGGATTCAAGTCAGATTAGGTTGCGGCGAGGGCGACGTCACGGACAACGTGTACGTGGTGGCTGTGTCCTATATGAATGCCCAGCACTCCAACGTTTTTACCACGAAATCCTCGCGCGGCGCCAAAGGTTCGTTACCATAGGTGCTGCACGACTGCGTCCTGCCTTGGTACAGGTCTCCGTCCAGCCATAGACCGAATTTTCCGCTGAAAAATTTTACAAGAGAAATTAGTAAAGTTGATCAAATAGGGGAAAATTATATTTGACACGTTTCACGTAAGGGTATTTACTCGTTAAAGGAAATTTGGAATAACTATTACAAGCGAATTGTTTATCGAATGAAATCAAAATGTACCATTTCGATGCTTGGAAATTGCTTAGATATTTTTATTCGATTGTTCGAACAGCGTAACGAACGATTTTATCTGTTTTTTCTTTTTTAGATGTACATAGGTAAAATGTGCGAAGTGGAAATCAGCTTAGCATTTTTCACAATATAACAGCTGAAGAAATTCACCCTTGAGCAACAAGTCGCCATTAAATCACCTCTTACACGCGTAATCTCTCAAACCATAGTTTCATAACAAATTAATCCGGTATCAGCATAAGTATAATCCCTGGTACAATCAAACGACCATGTAAGTCGCTTGTGTAACAACCATTTAACTAATCTCGCGTTGGTAATTATCGACAGGTTAACCCCTTGATACGTGCAGCTATTTTCCTAAATTTTCCGTACTGTGTTGTTCTTTCTATTGTAGCAAAAATGTGAGTTACAGTAAATTTATTTCTGCACGCCTAGGGAACGATTTCTTCGAAAAAAGTGAAACTGATCGAAGAGGATCACTTCCAAACATTGATCCTTGTCAAAATTCGTCATTTTTGGCACACATCGAACGGAAAAATGGTGAGCGTTAAAGGGTTAAACGTAGATACTTCAGGAGAAAAATTCTGTGAAACTTACTCCCCGGCCCCGATAGCCAAGCTCTCGTTGTTGCCCTTGATGAAGTATAAATTGTCACCTGTCCAGTGGAACGCTTGGAACCTGGGCGTGAACTTGAAGAGAAGGGACTCCCCGGTTCCGTAGAAGAGATCGCTCACGTGTAGAGCGCACGAGGTCAACGCACCAAACACCTGTAACCACGAGAAAAGGATGATTTACTGTGACGACTGCACCAGTTACTAATAAATCCTCCGCTCCGAGCATTCTCAAGGGATCTCTCGCGTTCATCCACATCAATTTCAACGAATTCTCCTCCGATAATTTTATTTATTTCTTCTATGTTTATTGGGCTACCAATGGTAAGTAATTTATTCCAAGTTATTTTTTCTGTGATTCATTCTCAAAATTCTGTTCAATTCTACATTAATTTCAAACATTTCACAGCTGTCTCTTCCCTCGTCGAGCTACTTAATCAACCCGAAAAATTCGACGAATTCTAGAACTCACATTGCCTTCTGTGTCTTCGATGACTAACAAGATTGGACTCTCTATCTTGGCCATTTTCCTGTACATGCTGTTCAGACTGAACCCATGTTGACTGGTGCTGAACACAAGGGTCCAGAGGTAGCCCTCCGCCCTTGCGGGCAGATGCCGGCACAATTGTTCCCTGTGGTCGTCGCTGAGGATCTCGGTGTTGCCCACCAGGTCAGGAACGATGACATCGTTGTCTAGGGAGACGGCGCTGTTCGTGTAGAGTGCTCGCCTGAGCTCCTCGCTCATAGACAGTACCTGTGAACGGCGAATGAAAAAATATCGGTAATTGAATATATTTTTCATCGGGGAAATGAAATTTCAGGAATATTCTGGGAGAGAGGAGATCTACGAAAGATCGAGAGAACGATCGCTGAGTCCATTGTATTTCGAGGTAGAATCTTTACTCGGAGGCTAGAGTACGAAGATCCAGTGATACGTGTCAATCATTCACGACACTCGAGGCTTTTGGGGTCGAAGAATTACTTTTTAAGAGTTTTCCCAGATTTCTGAGGGATTTTTACTGAAAATCATGGTGGAAAATTTATTAGAAGATTTTAGGTATTTTCTTTGGAATATTACAAGTCTCGATGGAAAATTATCTCTATCGCAAACTTTTATTAATTTCAATTTCAAATTATATTCATCGAATACTTCATAGTGGAACCACTGAAAAATTTCTCAGAAGATTCCCTAAAATTCTAATTCAAATTTTTGTAGAAACATTATATGTATCGCATTATATTATGGTCACCGAAAAATTTCTCACAATTAACGACAACTCCACTGAGAAAAAGTCCTATCTATCCTCAAAGATTGATCAACTTCTCACCGCCATATTTATTTCCATCCCATTAACATTCATTTGCAGGCGTACCGTTGCAGGCGTACCGTTGCACTCGTCAAGTACAAACTCGACGTCACAGAAGTGCAAGGTACGGTGTATCACGCGATTAATCATACTAAACGATGTGCTCAGCGATCTGGATGGATAATAAATTTCAAACATTCAGAAAACAGGAGAGATACTCAAACAATAGTGATTAATAGCTAAAGGACGAAAGGATAAGGGAATAATGGATCGGTGTATCTAAAGCCTAATTTTCTAAGTCTAAAGAAACACATCTATTTCCACACAACGAACACATTGTACTACGCATTCTCAAGTGTGTTGTGTTGTAACTGTTGTTTTGTATTAATAATACGTCGGAGAGAGAAGCCTGGTGGTCGTTCCCTGATCCACAGCACCAGTGGTCATTTATGAATATTTATACAGCGAGGAACGCGTCCGTCTTTCGTTCATCAAGCATATTAACGCAGCTCGTTAATTGCGTTCGTCTCGCTGTAACACCTTGACCTTTCTTCCCAGAGAAGTCAACAAAGGATTGCGCAAGCAGTCTTGGCCGGCGTCGCCAATGGAAACGAGAGGGAAAACGAGACGCGACGGAGAAGAGGCATCCCCTATTAGCATTCCCCTGCTTCGAGAAAGCTTGGAGAAAATGCTCTGCGAGAGATGATGTCGCGGAGAAGATACGGAGAAAATTTTTCAAGGTTTTGTAGAGAGAATTGTTTTTTCAAAGTTTGAGCAATTTTCCGAATTTTCTTCCGAGGAAATTTTCGTTTCCCAAGCTTAAGAAATTTTCTAGGATTTATTAAAGAAAATTCTGTTTTATAAATCCAAAGATTTCTACGGAAAATTTGTCAAGGTTTTGCGGTGAAAATGTTTTTTTCGAAGTTTGAGCAATTTTCCGAATTTTCTTCTAAGGAAATTCTGTTTTCCTAGGTTTAAGGTATTCTGCGGGATTTGTGAAAGATTATTCTGTTTTATAAATCGAAGGATTTGTGTGGAAAATTTTGAGAAATTTTCTCGAGGAAATTCTGTTTTCCAAGTTCAGAAAATGTTGGAGGATTTACTAAAGAAAATTCTCTTTCACGAGTCCACAGGTTTATACAGAAAATTTCCCTAGAAAAGTTCACTAAAATTCGCAAGATTTACGAGGGAAAATTGTCGAAAATTCACAGAAGAAATAACTACTTTCCAAGGCTGTATCGTTCTCGCAAAGAAAGTTTCACAGTGGAAAACTTCTCTTATCTACGTTTGGCGAACTTCACAAAGAAGATTCACGCTCCAAGTGTGACGACGATACTTTGCACGTGAGATTACCGGTGAAAAATTGCTAGAAAAATAACGACGATCCGTTATCAAGCGTGCTGGCTGTTGTTGTTCCATCAATTGATCCAGATGTGAAAAGCCGGTGAATCACATTTGTGCACGTGACTTGAACGGTAACAATTCCTCTCGATCGTCTCTCGTGGGATTACAAGTCAAAACGAGGCTGCTCTCTGTTGCTCTGCCATCGGACTTTGCATCTCATCCATTAATATTATGAAATTTACATAACTTATTCGTCGCGTTGCCCGTGTCAGCGACCACCTTTACAGATCGATGGGAATTTTCCTCTCGTAACCATAGAACCTCCTACGCAAGAAAACGATCTTACCGACCGCTGATAAAATAAGACCGCGAATTTTTACGCATTTATAGAAAATTGAAATATACAAAATTGCACAGAATGCAGGTAATACAAAAAAGTATCCAAAATATCCAAATCACGGTGCTTTTTACACATAATTTTCCGCCGAAATTCCACTTTTTCTCCTATATTCTCAACAATGTGAACTTGCATAAAAATTCGCAGTCTACCGATAATTTGTACAATATCTTCTTCACACTGTTCTCACAAAGAATGCTTTATCGCAGAATTTCAGAATTTTTCACGAAGAAGAACAAAGAGGATTTTTATTTTGGGGAAAAATTTTTATCAAGGATCTCTTTATACGCGAAGAGAGATCTCTATAAGGGGAGAAAGAGAATCCTGGAAAGTTTCAAGGATTACACGTTTGTACGTTCCAAGCAATAAAATCGAGGATAAAAATGAAAAATTCCATGGATTTTATACATATATATTTTTGGGTCATCAATTCGAATAGAATCTGCGATTTAATCAAGGGTAAATCCTTCGTTAGAGGACGTCGCGGAGTCTTTGTACGCCACTGACCTTCGTGTGATTCTTCATTTATCGTTTACTCTTTCCTTCCTTTTTGTTACAAATGAAAATTTCGTCGATTCGTTGTTTCGTTCGAGATTAGAGTAAAATAGAAAGTAGGGAGATGGGTTAAGGTCGTGGTTAAATTGAAACGTACACAACTAATGGAAATGCTTATCAAATATTCCTCCCTCGCAGAAAATGATAACGACAACCTTCTGTACTTTTTCCATCTTCTTTCTCTGTTACGCTCGATAACACGATTCATTTGCAGAAAATTAAGATTACTCTCTGGTCGAGACGATAAAACGTGCATCGATTTGACGTGTGCAATTCTGAACGGTGATAAAACAGTTTTTTTTTTTTATACGAGAAATGAATTATGTTCGTGTATATCTAATGAGAAAAAGATTGTGTAAGAGAGAGGGGCAAGAAAGATCTTTCTTCGATTTAACGTTTCGACGAGTTTCATTTTTGATTAATTGCGACACTTTAATTGTGAGAATGACATTAGGTTTTCTTTATCGTTTCAGGTACCGTGTTTGTTAAGTTTGCTCTTCGCTCCGTCTAAAGAATTCGACGTGCAGTCGGTATCTAAATTGAGAGAATGAATTGGAATTTTTTAAGTTTTCTTTTTTCCTATCTGCATACGATAAGATTTGCCGACACGAATCTTAGATGATTTGCCCGAATTATATACTATGTTCCGTTAATTTCCATAAATTGTCTTGAAGTACTTGATAAAGTACCGATTAAGTACTTGAAGTACCGATTAAGTTTCCTTCGATAAAGAATATACAAAAACTCTGCTATTGTTACAGTATTCAGTCTCATCCCAAGAAATTACTTCTTTCTAAAAATTCCCAACCCAACGTGAGAGCCTTTTAAATACGCGAAATCACATCTTCAAAGAGCATTCAATCTTACAAAAATCCAAACGTAACGTAGAAAGAAAAAGTACCGATTAATTTCTCCATTTAAAAAAAAAAAAAGTAGAAAGACTGATCTGCTATTTTTATAATACCATTCTGTCTCGTCCCAGAAATTCAAAATTGAAACACTCCATTTTTTAATACACCTCTGTTAAAAATCCCGGCCCAATTGTAAGAGCCTTTTAAATACGCGAAATCACATCTTCAAAGAACATTCAATCTTACAAAAATCCAAAGGTAACAGGAAAAAAAAAAAAATACCGATCTCTCTTAAATAAAAGTAAAGAAACTAAGCTGCTGTTTGTTGTAATATCATTCAGTCTCATCCTAGAAAATTGAAAATTGCAACACTCCAACTTTAAATACATTTCTTCAGAAAATTTCCGCTTTGAAACACGTGAAATAAAATCTTCAAAAGAAAATTCAATATTACAAAAATCTGCTATTCTTGTATTATTCAGTTTCATCCCAAAAAAAACTGAAAATTGCAACACTCCATCTTTAAACACATTTCTTCCAAAAATTCGCACCCAAAATCCGTCGAAAAAAATCGAAGTTACCGAACTCCAAACGTAACTAAGAAAAGAATATTTTCCACTTTTCTCGTCGATTTACAAAAACAAGCGTATGTTTCTGGCTTCGACAGGAGTCTGCAGCGAAGAGCATTGATATCAACCGAGCATCGTCGATTTTATTCGTGGATGGTCGGTCGGTTTGCATCGATTGCGCGAAACTTGAAAGAAAAAAAAAAAAAATCGGGAAGGGGTGAACGTATCGCGCGCGTTGCTCTTGGTGAACGGTTTTTTTTTTTCACGAGGGAAGATAAGAGTTTTTCGGCGATCGAGTGTCCCCTCGGTGTGGTTTAACCCTGCCTTTTACGCGATACGCATCAATTGAAGCGAGGTCGCGTCAATTAACGCGCTTCTCGTCGCCGGATCAAGGAGCCAGCCTCGAGAAAAGCGCGCTCGAACTCCAAGTGTGACGTGGGAAAACGCGACAGGGCGTGTACGAGCGATTGATTCAACCTGCGGAACTTCGAGGAGCCGTGTAAGGACAATGAGGAAATGGCCTTGTCGCTAAATGTTCGCTTTTTTCCGTGATTTTTTCGTTTTTATTCTGTTTTTTCTTTTTGGAGAGGCGGAGTAGATTGTGAAAGATACTTGTGAGTCACCGGGTGTGTGTGGTTTTTGCGAAAGGGGATTTTGTAAGTCCCCTTTTGTCTGAAAGGATTGAGACACTTGCTGAATGTGCGAAGCAAATATAAGTCAGTCGTTACAAA